AAATGCATTGGAGCTCGAATGTCGCAGCACAACACCAAAACACAGAGGATCAAGAATTGCATCTCGAACTTGTTTTTTGTCTGCATACAGCATGAAATAGTCGACGCTCGCCCTCACAGCATTCGAATTTGAGGAAAAAAAGGAGACATGCTTCCCACATCAGGATATTTCCGTGGCGTCTCCTGCCCAGACTACGAGAAAGGTCGATGTCATCGGCCTTTCTGCCACTTCCACCACCACCCTAGGAGAGGTCAGCACCCTTAAGCAAGGGATAGAAAAAGGGCTTTCGGGATCTTCTTCCTTTCTTACAGGATCTTGAAGCCGTGAGGCCAGTGGGACAGAGGGATAGAATGGGGAGTGACACTTTTCGCATTCCCCACAACAGGAAATTAGCAATTATAGATACATGATTTTGATATGCTTTTATTATGCAAGCAGAAATGAAGGTGCTAGTCTTCACATTTCTCTCCATATTTTTTTTTCGTGTATGCCACATATTCCTTTTATAACAAAGATTCTGATTTTTTTGTGTATAATTGTGTAAGGCAAATGAATCAGGTATCCATTTCTGTTGCGTTCCTTTATTTTCTGAGGTACCTACCTGCTCTTCTCAATCCAATAGGCTTGGAAGCACTTGGGAAGGCAGTGTTTTTGGGTTTAAAGGTATATGAAAAATATTTCTACCAAATAAAAAACTAATCAAATGAATGTCTTTTTTGGTTTTCTCATCCACGCTTCATAATGTGTGTACAGTAATTACAATTGCCTCTTGATTTAACAGCATGTTATAAATGCCAAGAAATTATATATTTTCTCAGGATATAACTTATACTAGTTCCTACTTTGACAGTAAACCACCCGAGTGCTTCATGAATTAAAGTTGTATGCCACACCCAATATAACAAATACATAATTTTGTGATGCAACAAGTGGCTTCAAACTGACTTCAGGAAGACCCAATCAATAAGGAAAATAAAAAGTATCCTAACACAATTCCCCCATTGATATAAGGCTTGGTGTCACTGATTATAACTATAAAAGAATGTGTTGTATTGAAAGTGCAATTCAAACAAATCCAACTATGACAAAAATGCTATTACAAATATTGTACTTTGATATTAAGTATAGAACTTCCTTTGATTAATCTAAAGGAAGTGGAATTTTATTAAACGAACATGAAATGCTAATAAAATGGAAGAACTATATGTAAGCCAATTAAGAAAGTCATATGAAGTAAGGAAAGACATGATTATGTCACAGTTTTAAAATAAAAGTATCTAAATTCATTGCTTGGAAACAAAGTATCCATCCTTACTTATGAGCTAAGACAATGTAAACAAACCATGCAACTCAGAATACGGTGTGAGAAATGTTGTACAAGTGGAGAATCATTGTCAGTTTCACCCGAAGGTTTTCTGTGAAGATTTGATGTATCGAATAAGATGGGAAGGGGATCCACTTATTGTTGAAATGTGGTTTACCTTAAAATATAGATCTGTCTCAAAATATAGATCGCTTTTGCTCTCTCCATGCTTGACATTTTGATCTGAGGTGTGTTTGTTTTATATCATTGTATATCCAAACTTTGATTTATTTTCTACCCTAGATATCTGAGAATATTGTAGGTTAAGCATACATGGAATTGACCATTTCTGTATCATTCAATTTTTAAAAGGTAAACTTACATGGATGTGATAGATCATTGAATTCTTAAAATGTAAATTTATATGGATGTGATAGGTCACTGGATTCTAAAAGGTTTTTCTTCTCTGACATACTCAAAGATATAAAATCATGACCATCATGACCACTACTCTGTACAGTTTGTACATTGCTGTGGTGATTTATCATTAGATGAGAAGCCAGTCTAAGCTCTGTTATACCAGATATACTTGGTGTAGATGTGTGTACTTAAGCATTGAAAGCACACAGATCACTATGATTACTGGACCATATCTGTCTCTTTTGTTTTTTTATAACCTTTTATTTGAAACATTTATATCATATATTTCATAGATCTTTCAGTTCTATGTACTTTTAGCCACCATGTACTCTATGTATGTCAGGAGTTATGGTTGAAAATTGTACAGATATAACCATGAAAATTTATAAAACTACCATTCCACAGGTTATGACTAGTTATTTCATCACTGTGTAGATGAAGAAATTATAAAATGGTAAATAAGCTGAAAAGGCTTTTGAAAAACTGTTATGACACTATAGAATTCACATTCTCTAATAGCACATTATTATTGATTATGCAGACAACACAGATAAAACTTATTACAGAGTTTCTGCTTTCACTCAACTCCACCATTTTGTCGTTGTTGTGTTTTCTTCTTTTCCTCCTTTTGTGATTATTCCCTGCTTTCTTATACCATGTTCTTTCTCCTTTAATTTTCCAAAACCTTCCCAGCATCTGTAATCACTAAATGCAACTCTGTCCCCAGCATATGCTAAGAGTTGTGACAGAAACAGATGCAAATGATTCGAGTAGATTTATTTTGATAGGTTATTTTTTAGTTCATAGAATATTATTTTTGTTTCCTAGGGAAGAAACAATAACAATTTTAGTTAAGTAAAATATATGTCTTCAGTATACCATGATTTGTTATCATTTCCTATTCTTCAGCTTTTTTGAATGATGCTGTTTTTTTTATATTTGCGATTCAGGATTTTGTTTTTTATTATTATCCTTTATTTAACCTTGTTTGCAGAAACCAACACAAATCAGTCGCAAAGTTTAACTTCCAATTTGGAAAATGCAGAGGATGGAAGGGTTATTAATGATGTCTCACAGGCCAAAATAGCTACTGGAACACCTGCATCTGAAGGTTTGATACTTCCTTTTTATTTAATTTATTTTTATTTTGTTTTTTTATTTCCATTTTTTCCAATATTTTGTGTAAGGTTGAAAGTAAAGGTTGAGTTACTTGAGAGGCTGAAGGACTAGGGAAGATAATGAGTGTGTGGATAGGAATAGGAAGTAAATGAAAGATAATAGGGGGAAGAAGAGAGATATTGGTTGCATTTATATGTTTGAATATTAGACAAGTATCAAGTACCTAGGCAATACAAACACTTCAGAATTTTTAACGATTGTCCCCAAAGAACATATTACCTGTTTCATTGTCATGATTAGTAATTCTTAGTCACCATCCTGGAAATAAGGGTGGGTGTGCGTGTGCGTGTGTGTGTGTGTGCGTGTGTGTGTGTGTGTGTGTGTGTGTGTGTGTGTGTGTGTGTGTGTGTGTGTGTGTGTGTGTGTGGTGTGTGTGTGTGTGTGTGTGTGTGTGTGTGTGAGAGAGAGAGAGTGCGTGTGTGTGTGCGCGTGCGTGTGTGTGTGCGCGTGCGTGTGTGCGCGTGCGTGTGTGTGTGTGTGTGTGTGTTGTGTGTATGTGTATGTGTGTGTATGTGAGAGTGTGTGTACATGTGTGTGTGTGTGTGTGTGTGTACATGTGTGTGTGTGTGTGTGTGTGTGTACATGTGTGTGTGTGTGTGTGTGTGTGTGTACATGTGTGTGTGTGTGTGTGTGTGTGTGTGTGTGTGTGTGTGTGTGTACATGTGTGTGTGTGTGTACATGTGTGTGTGTGTGTGTGTGTGTGTGTGTGTGTGTGTGTGTGTGTGTGTGTGTGTGTGTGTGTGTGTGTGTGTGTGTGTGTGTGTGTGTGTGTGTGTGTGTGTGTGTGTGTGTGAAAGAGAGAGAGAGAGAGAGAGAGAGAGAGAGAGAGAGAGAGAGAGAGAGAGAGAGAGAGAGAGAGAGAGAGAGAGAGAGAGATGCGCTTGTGTATGTGTATGTATGTTTATATGTTATATGATTATAATCATAATGTTTAATTGCTTTCAGATATACCAACATGTAGCAAATCAGAGACCTCAGCTCCTAAGAGGGGAGATAATGCAGAAGAGGCAAGTGACACAGAAACATCTGAAGCAAATTCAGGCAACCAGTCAGAGCTACTGCAACAACTAGTAAGCGATGCTGTCAAGAAAGCCCTGTCAGAAAACCCCCTTCTAGCTGCAGCGGGAGTTGATCCCACTACTGTGATGAAGAAAATTGATACATCAGCCCTGATTGCTCAGGCTTCAGCTGAGATTACCCAGACCAAGACAAAGAAGAAGCTATACCTCCGTCCGCCAGATACTCCTAGTTATAACCCCACACCAATAGAAGAACTCAATAAGCGTAAGAGATCTGTAGAAGCCAGTGATAAGGAAGTGACACCATCCAAGGTTATGAAGTATGTCCCATCTAATCTATCTGCCAGTAGTGTTATTTCAGATGTTTTGGAAGGAGAAGTTAATACCAAAAGTTCTGTAGACAGTGAAGCTACAGATTTCTCTTCTGATGACGGTGAGGGTGACAAAAGAAGAGATGACTTCGATATCCTAGAAGAGGTGCTTGCAGAACACTCACAAAATAATAAGATTAAAGTGAAGAAAAAAAGAGTAAAGGCTCTTGGTAAGCTTCAGTATAATTTAAGCACTGCAGAGAAAACTAGCAAAAATTCAACTGTGATTTCAGATGCACAATGTATGTCAAATATTGATAGTAGTAGCTGTGATACGTCAAAGAAAAATTCAACTGAAAGTCAGGACATGCCTGAAGGATCTTATTTTTTGCCCCCATCTCCAGTTTTTACTTCATCTTCAGATGGATTTGGAATGTTTAATAGCACTGTGTATACTACTTCTAAAACTGATAGTGAAAGTTGCAAAACCAGTGAAAATGTACCTGCAAAAGAAGAGAAAGAAGTGAAGGAGAAAGAGGAAAAAGAGATAAATCCAGTAAAAGTTAACAATCCAATACAAAAAAGTGAGGTAAGTGTGAAGCCAAAGGAACAGCCAAGTAAAGAAGAAGTAAAAAATAAAAGTAAAGGTCATTCTTTGCTTCCCCAAGTTGTCCATACACTCAGTGCCCCCAAAATATCTAGACGCAATATAAGAAACTGGACTCCGCAGGTTCGGAGCACAGTACCAGAAGTAAAAGATACAGGTGATCCATTAGAAGAAATATTACAGTTAATGGATGGAGAAGATTCACAGCAAACAGCTGACTCAAAAGAGGATTCCAAAAAGACTTCTCAACAGAGAGTAGAAGCTTCAAAAACTGTTAAAAAGTATAAAGTTGATTTAGATAAGGAAATTCTAAGTTTAGCAAATTTGTCATCAAACAAAGAGGAAATTAAACCACCTCCAACTGAAAATTCATCACAAGAAAAGCTTGAAGTAAGCACTACTACCAATAGTGAGAAGCAAAAACTAAAAAATACTGTTCAGGGAGAGAACTCAAAAGAAGAACAAAAGATATCAGATAAGGAAACAGAAACCAAGGATTCTCAGTCAGAGAAGAAAGAGAGAAAGAGTGAAAGTGAAAGTGAAGATCCAGATCTTGATTCAGATGAGGAAGATGATCCTGAGAAAGATGAGAAGCGAAATAAGGAAAACAAGGGAGGTGTTTCAGCCAAAGATGATGAGAGCAGTGATTCTGAACATAGACGGGGAAGACACAAGAGAAAGAGAAAGAGGGATCGGTCAAGCAGCTCAGATTCAGAACATTCTTACCATAGAAGAAAGAAGAAGAAAAGTCACAAACGACGTAGGAAATACAGCCATAGTAAAAAGAAAAGAAAACATCGTAATAGTAGAGGTGACTCAGATGATGATGACAGTAAGGATTCAAACAGAGATGAAGAAGACAGTGTAGATGAGAAGAGTGATGCTAGTAGAGAGAACAGTGAGGATGAAGAGTTAGATAAGGTTAAAAAACATAAGAAACACAAGAAAAAGGGAAAGCACCATAAGAAATATAAATACAAGAGAAGGAGAAGCAAAAGCAAGAAAAAGAGAAACCGAAGCCACAGTAGTAGTCGGAGTTCAAGCAGGAGCTCTAGTGAGAGCCGAAGTAGAAGTAGAAGCCACAGCAGAAGTCGTAGTGAAAGCCGTGACAGAAGTCGCAGCAGAAGTCAAAGCCAAAGCCCTGATAAGAGAAGAAATAAAGATAATCAGAAGATAAGTAATAGAAGGGAAAGTGAGGACAAATTAAAACGAAGAAACTCTACAGGTGATGGCCAAGGAAATACCAAGGATAAAAGCCAGCCATTATCAGTACCAATGCCAGTTGATCCAAGCAAAATAAAAATTGAAAAGGAGCCTACAGTTCCTGATCTGTCAATTGTCAAGATTGAGAAAGACTTGGAACAGACTTCTGCCTCTGGCAAAAAAGAAGAGACTGAAAGTCATGGTGAGAAAAGAAGTTCAGGTGACTCAAGCACTAAACAGGAGAGAAGTTCACATTCGAAGCTTAGTAGTGACATTTCTGTGAAAGAAAGTGAGAAAGCTAAACAGGGCTCAGATAGAGAACACAAGAAGAGTAGGCAGGATAGAAAAAGTAGTACAGATAGCATGTCTGATAAAGGTTTCTCACAGAGGCGCCAAAGCACAGAATCTAAAAAGTCAGAAAATGAAAGCATCTCAGGAAGCAGTAAACAAGGAATAAAAAGAAGAGTTAGTGAAGATTCTTGCAAGAAAGAAAATATTGCTCAGGATTCTCAGGGTAAAGTCATGTCTATGTTTGATATGGTGATTGCCAGCACTCAACAGGTACAAAAGCCAAAAGTTCTGAAGGAAATCTCTATTTTTGATGCTGTGGCAGCTGCTGGTATTGACTGCAGTGATGACTCAACTGAAGATGGTATTGATAGTACAGAGCCTTTTGTGAATGATGATTCACTTAATCAGAAGAGTGACACTCCTTCAAAAGGTAAATCAGGCCAAAGTTCTAAAGCTGAGAAGTCAGTAGATCGTTCATCTAGTTCCAGCTCTCGCAAAGATAACAAAAATGAGTCAAAGAGAAAGCATTCTTCTAGCAGTAGTAAAGAAAAGAGTAGTAGTCATAAAAGTTCCAGTAGTCATCACAGTAGTTCTTCCAGCAAGCACAAAAGCAGCAGTAATTCTAACAAACACAGCAATACTACTGTGAGTAGCAGTACTAGCAGCAGTAAGGAGACCCATTCCAGTAAAACCAAAGAAAAATCAGGTGTAACTTCTAGCAGTCACTCAAGTGGAAATGCTAAACATCATAGCAGCAAACACAGCAGTAGTTCAAAGAGTCAGAAGAGCAGTAGCAGCAGCAGCAGCAGAAAGCATAGCAGTGGAAGTCATGGCAAAGATAAAGAACACAGCAACATTGGAAGCAGTAGCAGTAAAGCTGATGGAAAAATCAAAGAATCTTCCAGAAATAAAAGATACTCCACAGAAAATGAAGCATCAAATGGGATTTTTGAAAGAGAATCTTGTAATGGTAATTATCATTTCAGTTTTTCCATAATATTTCAAATGGAAATGTTTTTGTTACCTGCATTTGAATCAGATTTCTTTTATATATTTTTTGTTTTCTATATTTAGATTAGTCTTCCTTCGTATACAAATTCAGTATCATATTATTCAGTGATTTTAGAATAAGAATTGAGTCATGTGTTTCTTCACAGACGGAAGTGATTCCCCACTACCAGACCTTTCTGCACTAGATGAGATCCCACAGGATGATTGGGAGCAAATGATTAACTCTAGTGATAGATATGATTTGCAGCATTTAGAGGTACGACATAGTATGGATTTGTAATACAGCCTTGTATTTTTTGAACTGGTCGAACTTCAAAATTAGTATGCTCATCTGTTGAACAAAGTTCTATACCATTAGAGTAAATTACTTATCTTTTCCCAGAATCTGGATGACAATGATGAGGATTATGATTTAGATGACTTAGATAAGGATGATCCAGCTATAATGGAGGAATGCATGAGGATGTTCAACGAATACCAACCTGAAGATTCTCAGCCTCAGATGTCATCTAAGAAGGTTAGTGGATCAATGCATATATAAAAGAAACTAAAAATACTTTGAGATGTATTTTTAACTCAGGATAATTACATAAATAGTTTTAAGATCTATAAACTACAGTGCCATGTTATTTTGAGTTAAGGGGACCTTCCTGATTGGAAAGGGGTTCAAATTGAGTTAGCTAGTGTATAGTATAGGTACATGGATGAGGAAACCACCAAATGAGTATTAAAGCCCAGCTATAGATATTTCTCGGGCTGCGAACACGAGACCCGCTAAACACTTGGGGAGGTAAACCACTAATGAGCACCCAGGTACACCTATGTGGACTTTTGCTTGTTGTAATCATGCATACAGGATTTGATTATGATATTGCACATAGATATGAGTTTGTGAATATTCAAAGAACACTTTTATACCAATATCAAGAAAAATTACATCACAGTGATTTATGACGAAATATATACTTTAAAAAATGTAAGTTTTGTGCCCTTTTACACATGAAATATGCTTCCATCGAGACTCCCTGGCAATATGTGATCTGAAGGGATCTATAGGTATACCGAGTATGAAGCACTAATGTTTGAAAATAGCCGTACAAGTAAGAATTAAAATATATCCGTTAGACTTCAGTCAACAGTCAGTACATCACAGCATCGGTAAGTTTGATTTAATTTGAAAATGGTCATTACCACTGTAAAGGGCAATTCAGTATGAAGAGTACCTAAAAGTCAGATTTTTGAAGTTCTGATATATAAGCAAGATACTGATTATTTCCTATTGAAGATTATAGTACACAGTAATACCCACTCTGAAATAAAAACAATATGGAATTTTGAGCTTGTTTGTGTGCACAGTTTTCGTCTAGAGTTGAAAAAGCTATCGCATCTGTTTCGTGCGTTTCTGGTAAAAAATATTACATTTAGATATTACCATAGGTCTTAGGGACCATAAATTCACATATATCTAACCACACCTAGGTGTCTGCATGATTTTATGCACTTCTTAGTAATGATACTATTATCGAAGAAATCAGTTTGTAGGGATAACTAGTATATTTTATTCCTTTAGATGTAGGCCTACTAAATGAGGATGATTAATTTTTTTAGTTTTATGTGCATGTGTTTACATACATATGATCCTCCTCGAAAATTATAAACACCCAGTGACCACCTCCCCCCATGTGTGGAGCATGGAAAAAATTCAACTACTTGGGTGAGTTCTCAAATTCCATGTACTAAATTCATATCCTTTTAAAATTCTCTAAATTGAACCGCCATGTTGTATTCATGCTAGGACTTTATAACTAGGATGTTTTGTAATGATACTGCCATCCACCATTCTCCATTTCTTCAAAATCGAATTAAAAAATGTAAAAAATAGAAAAAAAAAGTTTTTATCTTGTTTAGACTAGTTGTCTGTATGATTCAATGGATTTATTAAACTTTTCAGACAAAAATATCTACTTTTATATCCAAGCAAACAAACAAAAAATTACATACATCATCACATCGCAAAGTACACTAAATAAGCTTTTTTTGATATATAACATCATTAGATTTAGAGAAAAATAACAGATAAGGAACTTTGGCAAGCGGCCAGAATATAAAACGCTGTATCTCCCTTCTTTGTTTACATGGCCTTCCGTACATCCAAACTCTCGTAATTTTTTGTGCGATTCAAATGCAGTTTGTTGCTTTTGCTAGAGCCTTGGAGCCCTGAGGCCGTGTAAATGGCCGATTTTTGAATTTTGACCTTAATCAAAAAATATAAATTTTTTAAAGCTGAAAAAAAGAAACCAAAAATAGAACTCTATGTCAACCAGTCCCCAGCCGTCAAAAAAAGGACATTTAAAAATCGGTCATTTACACGGGCTTAGGCTTGGGTAGATCTGACACAAGCATTTTGGGGGGATTAGTCAGGAAAAAACTGTAGGAGTTGGGATGTACCGAAGCAAAAAAAAAAGTTTTTTTTTTCTTGGGGGCGCTCCACTCCCTATGTGGGAGCGAGGTTAAAATCATATATGAGACGAAGCACAATTCTATACTCTATATCATGCAAAAGAAATCGGTGAGTTATCTCCAACTATTCCATGTAGCTAAACATCAAAATAACTTAATTGATGTTTACAAAAGATAACACAAATTATCTTGAATGTCAAAAGTAAACAGTTTTGAATTCAGATGATATAGTTACACATTCATTCCATGGTTATTTAACCTTTTTTTTTTTTTTTTTTTATCTCATTTTACTTTACCAGATACTAAGCCGACAGCCTTATATAATTACCCATTGCTTGAATTTTCCTGATGAAAGTTTTTATTTTTTATATTATCATCATTATTGTTGTTAGTGATATAACCTTAATATAATTATAATTAATATATTGTTATGAAAATACTAATTGCAATAAAGATAACAAAATGATAGAAAAGAAAAGTGTAAACAGAGGAGATATGTAGGGCTAATAATTGACCCCATAGTGACTAAGCACATTTGGGCCGTCTTTATATAAACACAATTAACAAGTTAAGATCACAGTAGACATGGCATTTATTCATGCCATCTATGGTTACTGGATTAAAAGAAATTCGCATAGAGGCTCTGCATCATTAATTTATGACCTGAAGGCTCATTTGGTTTGTTTTCACACTATCTCTTGTTTTTGCAGACAAAAGCAGTACCAAAAGAAGAACCAGAGTCCCATCAAGGAAAGCACCGTGTTGCTCGTTCATCAACAGGAAATTTAGTTGCCAAGAAACCAGAGAAAGGGCCTCGCAGATTGACACCAGCTCAGGTGAGCAGGAGTTGAGAAGTCATAACTGCCATTGGCATTCAGCTCAATCTCATGTAACATTACTTCTGTCTGCTGTAATATTATCTCTCATTAATTTTCCTTTGAAAATATTATTGTAAAGACCTCATGGATCTCAAATGCAAATCCAGGGCTATTTAGTAACTGCAGATACATTTTCAGTATCCCACATATCTTTGTTAGAGGAGTACAATATATATATGTTGAACAAAATCCAGACAGTAATGTTTGTACAAGGAAATGGAATACAACCACAATAAGAAAAGGCTTAGGAAGCACGATACTACTTTCTCATCATACATTGTAAAAAAGTTATTGATGTTTGGGCAAAGGCTATTTATCAGAAATTTGTCACAAATGTATTGAGCATCAGATTCCTTCTAATATTACAATGAAAATTTATTGATGACTTAATATTGTAAATTAATTTTTCCCCATTCATCTAAAGATTTAAGATATTTTTCTTTAGGCAGAGAGAAACTTCATATCCTAATTTTCAGGTGATGATGGAAAGATATCAGAAACTGAAGGAGCAGCAGGCAGAGTTGATGAAGCAGCTGAAGAAACAGAAGCAACAGCTTGATGAGCAAAATCGTGGTCGGTCATCATCTTCCTCTGCAGTGTCATCAACTACCTCCTCCAAACCTTCATCTTTCCCAGCATCATCATCAACAACTGTAAAATCACCTCCAATGTCATCTTCAGGTATTTATTGCTTTCAATTTCTCATCTTTGTTCTATAGTGTTTTTTTCTTTTCCTATAATCCTGTACTTCAATCACACATTCTCCATCACCACTCTCCTCTTCCCTTTTTCTATAGTTCATTTCCCATCTTGCTCATTGATTTTTATACCACTTCCCCTCAATTTATCTTCCTTTTTGCTTTACTTTGCTCTGCCTCCTCTCATCATCATCATTATCATTATCATCATTATCCTCCTCCTCCTCTCCTAATCCCCCTCTTCCCTCCCCTGCCCCTCCTCTCCCTTCCACTTCTTCCTCCTCTCCTCATCCTCTTCTCCTCCCCTCCTCCTTTCTTATTCATCATCATCTTCTCCTCCTCTTCTTCCTGCTCCCCCTCCCCCCTTCTGCTCATAATCTTCCTCTCCTTAGTTTCTTCTTCCTCCCCCTTCCTCCTTCCTCCTCCTCCTCCTCCTCCTCCTCTCCTCCTCCTCCTCTCCTCTCTCCTCTCCTCCATTCCTTCTCCTCTCCCATCTCTCCTCCTCCTCCTTCTTCCTCCCCCCTCTCCCCCCTCCTCTTCCTTCCTCCTCCCCCTCCTCTTCCTCCTCTCCTCCCCCCCTCCTCTCCACCTCCTCTCTTTCCCCCTCTTCCTTCTCCCTACTCCTCTTCCCCTCTCTTCCTCCTGCCTCCTCCCTTCATCCTCATCATCCTCCCCCTCTCCCTCCTCCTCCCCCTCTCCTCCTTCTCTCACCTCCTCACCTCCTCCTCTTTCCCCTTCTTCCTTCTCCCTCTCCTCTTCCTCTCTGTTCCTCTTCCTCCCCCCTCATCCTCACTCCACCTCCTTTCCTCCCCTCCTCCTCCTCCTCCCTCCTCCTCCCCCCTCTTTCCTCCCCTTTCTCCACCTCCTTATCCTCCTCCTCTCCTCCTCCTCCCCCCTCTTCCTCCCTCTCTCCACCTGCTCCTCCTCCCCTTTCTCCACCTCCTCCTCACCTTCCCTTCTCTTCTCTTCTTCCCCCTGCCTCCTCCTCTTCCTCCTCCTTCTCCCCTTCCTCATCCTCCCCCTCCTCTTCTTTCACCTTTTCCCTTCTTCTCTTTCTCCTCCTTCTCCTCCCCCCCAACCCTTCCTCCTCCTGTTCTTTTTCCTCCTTCCCCACCCCACC